TAATCTCTTCATTTTGGAAGGACCAAGAAAATGCTTATTAAATCCTCCAGTGTTCCTTTTTGGGTAAAACTTTCTGTTTCTGTGTATTTCACAATAGTTTACAATAATATTGGCTTTGAAAGCCACTTTATCTAAGGTGTATTCAATTTGAGTCAAATTTGACACACAACCCACTTTAAAGTGTATTTTCTCTATGCTTTTTCACCTCTGCTTCACCTTTCAGAGGCTGAAACCTGTCAAATCTCGGAATTTTATTATTGCGTAATTATTATTGCGTAATGTAGTCCTCCAGTAAACAGCCAATATCTGTCTACATGTCAAGAAGCTCGCACACATACAAACACATTCATGTCTGCAGGGAGTGTGTGCATGAGCTTCTGAAAACAGGATAACTTGAGCAGCTGTACCTCATTCTCAGCGTGAATTCTTTGATATGACAGGCTGCTGAAAGATACAGGCTGTCTCAGTGAAAGCTGTGCTTTCTTATTGCACAAGTCCTGCTTTACAAACACTAGCAGATTTAGCGCGGGGTGGCCCAACTTGTTTTACACAACTGTGGATCTCAGCAGTCTTGTTACATGCACACACACACTATAGACAGTCTATAATTATCTATATATAAAAACAATTGTATTTTATAGTATAGTCAGTTTTAGCTCACTTTTGGGAACAAGTCTGGAATCTAAAAGGCATTTTTTATTATTTTACATCTTGAAAAATAAAATTTGTAAATGTCAGATACCAAATCTGAAATAAATTCATGCCTGGCAGTATCATCAAGAGAACAATGGACCATTGTAGTTACTTACAGCAATGAATACAATGAAAAATTGTTGCAATATTAATACAACAGTGGATTGGAAACAAACTTGTTTTTGTTTTTTTGCCATCCTCAGGCCGTTCCTCCTCCTCCCCCCGCTGATGGAGTGGATGCGTGTGGCCATCGTTCATGCTGAGCATCGCCGCAGCTTATTGGTGGACAGCGATGATGTCAGACAGACGGCACGGCTGCTCTTGCCCGGACTGGACTGTGAACCCAGACTGCTGAAGTAAGACATTCTGACTGACAACCAGCCTTAAAACAGAGAGAAATACAGGGTGGCACTTTTACAATCACCAAAAGCTCCCTAGAAGAAGAGCCACACCGAAAAACACTCTGAACACCCTAGCAACCATTCTAAAACACCTTAGCTACCGTAAGGTGTTGGGTTCTGAATGTTTTTGCAACACACAAGAAACATATTACATACTACATATTAACACCCTACTATCCCCACAGAACACCTTAACAACTGCAGAGCAACAGATTAACAACCACATACCATGCCCTAGCAACCAATCAGAGAACCATAGCATCCAAAAAGCAATGCCCTAGCAACCTGTCAGAACACCATAGAAACGGCATAACACCGAAACAATCACTCAAAATCAAATGTGAAGTGACCACACAGAAGGCATAGAAATGCTCTAGCAACCACTCAGAACACCTTAGCAGCTCTTAGAACAGCTTGGCAACAGCATAAAAACGCCTTAGCAACCAGAACTCCTTAGCAACCACTTACAACAGCTTAGCAACTGCATATAACAATGCCCTAGCAACCAAAACACCGTAGCAACCACTTAGAACAGCTTATCAACTGCATATAACAATGCCCAAGCAACCAAAACACCGTAGCAACCACTTAGAACAGCTTGGCAACTGCATAATACTTTTATAATACTGCATAATACCAAGCAAACAGTTAGAACATACAGCCACATAAAACACCTTTTATGTAGCAACTTTATCTTCAAAAAATTTTCAAATAATAATAAATGAACATTTTCAGAAGCATAGAACAAATGAAAACCTATAAAAAAAATAAATAAATCAAAATAAATATCCACAGTTTCCCAAAAGCTCTCTGGTTCTGAATTGATTGACAAAGTATCATCTAACAGAATCATGCATCAGGGGCAAGATACATCACATTTCATTCTGACTTTAAGGTGTTTTGTCAAGTTCTCCAGTTGTGGTGATGTTGTTTGTTGGGTATATTTTAGTGTTTCTATAACATTGTAAAACTAATTAAATCTTTTTTTTTTTTTCAACGGACTTTTAAACAGAACTTAAAATGTGGCAGAGCTGAAGCGTGAAACATGATCTCATGCTCCTCCTTATTTGTGACTTTCCATCAAACTGCATTAAAACATTTGCAAAGACCTTCAGCAAAGCCTCAGATTTTTACTGATCCTCAAGTGCTCAGCCTTATACTTAATGATTTGAAAACACTTCAGGAAAATACAGCACTCCACCCATGAAAGCATGCACTGAACCCCACCACCCCTTTCTCCACTCACTCCCTCACTGCCCTCCTTTTCCTTCATGCGTATTTTCTAACTCTTCTTCTACAGGCCCGAGTGCTGCTTTAGTTCCTTCAGGCGGCTGGATGCCAAAGCCGCCACAGATAAGTTCCAGCTGGACCTGGGCTTCCGCATGCTCAACTGCGGCCGCACCGACCTGATTGGCCAGGCCATCGAGCTGCTTGGGCCAGACGGTGTCAACAGCATGGATGACCAGGTACGGTGAACTCAGAACCACAAACCAGAAATTAAGAGCACCTGTCAGCACTGAAGACCAAACTATACATCACTCGGTTACACTGATATCATGTTTTGGATCCAGATGTCACACACTCTCTCTCTCTCTCTCTCTCTCTCTCTGTGCATCTGTGTAGGGTATGACCCCGCTCATGTACGCCTGCTCAGCTGGAGACGAGGCTTTAGTCCAAATGCTGATTGATGCTGGAGCCAATCTGGATGTAGCGGTACGGACCACCAGTTACTCTCTTAGTCTGTCACTGTTTTTGGATGTTAAGACCTGTGTAAACCAAGTTCATTGTGATTAAATGTTGATTAAATATTTACAAATAATAATAATGATAATAATAATAGTAAAACTGAATTTTCATGATTCCTTGGGAAAAAATAAAAAAAGGAGGGGGGGGGGG